CTAGATCCTTTTATATATTATTTTCTCCCTATTCCTACTCTTTTTAGTTTAGTTTCTTATTCATTCATAAATATTGGTTACTTAAAAAATTTAGATTATAATATTTAATTAGGAGTAAAAAGATTTGTTTCCTTGTGGAGATCGACCCTACTTCCCTATCTACTTTAGTTAGTGATTTAGGTAATTATTTTTTATTAGGGGATACGACTTTACCCTGTCACTTCAACGACAAGATTTCGTGACCTTTTTTTATATTTTCTTTTATTCTTCCTTTTCCAATAAGTCTAGCATAGGTATCTTTCATTCTCCTTTGATATTATATTTTCCTTCTAATAGACTTTATTTTGTAGGATTTTTCCTTTTTCCTTTTAATAAAACGAGCATTTCTTTTTCTCGAATATGATCATTGCGTTGCATTAAAAAAAATCCATGCAGAACTAAGCACAAGGTATACTAATGATTTGAGGCACCCCTTGTAGCTATATCATATCATTTTGATCCTTCAAATATATAATTCTTTTTTGATAAACTATTTTGAGCCTCGTCTAACGGTAGACCTTTCTTTTTTTAACCTAAATTTATCTAACCTTGGGATGGGATGATGTGCAACTTATGCAAGTTCTAAATCCAAAAGCTTGAGTGATTTTACCTAGATTTCAAATATTCAAAAAAGCAAAAAACAATATAAAAGTGTGTAAAATGGCAAGTGTTCCAATGTCGTTGACATGAACATGTCTTTGATATGAACACGTCTCAGATTGCGTCTCTTATCGAGTGCTCGGTACCGTGCCTGAGAAATATGAATGTCAAATGAGTGATAGACCGCATGATTGGGATTGAAAAAGATTCAAATATGAAAAATGCAAAAAAAAAAAAAAAAAAAAAAAAAAAAAAAAAAAACGAATTTAAAAGTGAGAAACCTCAAGCATACATATAAAAAAGCAAGGTTGCACACCCTGAGGGCTTATCTAGGGTCTTGAGCCTTTATCCCCTTCTTCTTCAAACCTTCAGCCTAACCACGTTACAACCCTTAAAATACCTCTTTGAGGTATACACACTTGTGCGAGGTTCGGCTAGAGCTCAGTTCAGCCTGATTCCTAACGGATACGTAGGCAAACTCATAATAAGGTGCGGCCGTAATAAAAAAATGTATTTATATTTACATTCATAATTGATCATATCAAGGGATCTCCCATGCTCATCCCTATCCATTTAGATCTAGATTTTGGGGCTTGATCCCTACATCGTTAGCCTGCATAGCCTAAGGGTCACTATCATTGGATTCTTCTTGAAATAATATTTTTCCATACCCTTAGCCTTTTCATTCTAACTTAGTGTCACTTTCACACACTACACAGACACATAGACCGAATAACACTTCCTTTAGGAAGCCTTTGTCATGAAATATTAATATAAAGTTGAAGCATATCTTGGCATATAAAGGTCATAATCATCATTGTGTCACAAAGTATGAAGTGCTTAGCCTCCGTGCCTAAGTTACCTAAATACTTTCTTTTAATCAAAAATCGAAATAGCCTAGGATGTTACACACCCTAAGATACGACATCGATACATACATTTGTTTAAGCTCATTCGACATATATCGTAACACTTTACTCCTGTCTTTTCAGGTATTTCTTTTTTAGGAGAAAGCCGGTACTCCACAAGAAAGACGAAAAATTTTGTTTTCGGGTCACACATTGAGTCATGAGTCAACATTCTGCACACACAAGTCACACGCAACGAGTCATCATTAAGTCAAGTTTACACCTTGAGTCATGTCAAGTCATATGTGTTAAAAACACATCAAGTTTTATATAATGAGTCAAGAAACACTAAGCCTTAGGTGAACCCTAATTACATGAGCAAAGTCCTATAGTCCAAAATATAAATGCAGGTATACTAAGTCCCTGACGGACGAGAAACCTTTTAAAGGATTTGAAGCAAAAGGACGCAAACAACATAACAAATCAACTAAAGTCGGCCTGATTTAAGTTGGATTAACAATCAGCATGATGATAATCATGTTGATTGATTGAGCACATCTGGGTTGTGATAAAGCACCTAATTTGGAGTAGTAATTGAACACGAGTTTCCCAAGATAAAATATCTCTATGGAAATTAACTTGGATTTCACGGCTGAGGAAGCTATTACTTCCAAGGAGCAAAACTTACTGGCAAACTAGAGATAAAGAGCTATGATTTGCAAAAAGATTTGAGCGGATTTAGTTGAAAAGAAATAACCAGGTCGAAAATTCAAAGCGGAACACAAATCATAACAACAGCGGAAATGAAGAAGGAAAGGGGATTTATTCGAAAATCCCGACTCCAGCGTTAGACGACGAAGTTGTCGCCTGGCGACAAATCAAATTCTTGGCGAAAGTATGCTCTGGTGTGTGCCGGTGCGGCGAAAAGATGTGTGGTCGCCATAAATGATTATGCGGACATTATGCAGCAATTTCAGGTTCCTTGGTACGCCAGTTAGCCCCTATAAGCAAATTGACATGATTAGGTAGTCGGCTAAATTACAATTGCAGTAAGTGATCAACCTCACAAATGATCGTCTAACTTAGCTTAAAGCGCCTAAGTATTGGCTCATCGTAAGCACCGAAGTAATGGTTCACAAAGAATCAAGCGTCGAGGTACCGACTCATTCACAAAATGCGCCGAGGTACTAGCACAACAACAAATTTAGCAAAGCATCTATAAAGCAAAGATTCAAGAGGAGAAATAAGCGGTGGTCTTCGATAATTTCCTCGGAAGATTATCATAATAAAACTGAAGATAGCTATAAGCAGCGGTCTTCGACGATGTCCCAAGGTAAAGAGGAGATTATCTATAGCGGCGAGGCATAGCCGTGGCGAGGTACTACCACAACCCTGAATATGGCTACAAGAAGTCACCTTCGATGATTGTTCCCTAAGGTGTGGAGGATTGTCATAAGTAGTTGAAGATGGTTACAAGGACCGGTCTTCGACGATGACATTCACGAGGCACTATGGAGGTTGTCACAACAAAAGTAGCAACGAATCAATTACTCTAGAGACGTGTGCTCGACGGTGCAAGATACGCGTTTCTTAACTCTTTTATCTGTTTAACTAACAATAGTTTGCAGGTATCGGCGTTACAAGATGGTTAAGGATTATAGAACGTTTTGAATCATTCTCCGTCCCAATCGCTAATTTGACTTTTGTTTTCAAAACATGCGTTTCTCCAAACTCAGTCAAAGTGGGGGCTTCTGTAGACACCCAAATGTGTCACCCCAAAAACCAAACCCAGTGATGCATAATTTTCACGTTGCTTAATTATCGAATGAGGTGGAAGTGTAACAAGTCTTGTGATGTGGTTTTTTTAATAAAATCTCTCTTTTTGTTTTCGAAAATCTTCTCTATTTATGAAAATAGCTCTTATAATTTATCTTGGTCCTTGACAAGGGTCCATTAATATTGTAGTTGGGTTGAGTTCGTAAAGAGCTTTTCAATGATATATTATAAGCCAAGTTCCGATGAATAATGAGGAAGTTATGGCCAATATACAAAATTGGGTTTGAAATAGTTTTATGGCCCAATGATCTAGTAGAGGGCCCATTAATTACTATTCCTAAAATTATTAGGATTTATTCTAGTCTTCTAGAATAGTCTAGAAGGTTATTTTGAGTTCTAATAACATTAGGATTGATGATTATTCTTTTTAGAAAAAAAATGATTTTAATTTGAAAAAAAAACAAGTGTTTTATTATGATAAAATCTGATTTAAAATTAATTAAAACGGAGTTTAACTACTTAATTTTATTAAGAAGTGGATTCCGTACAAAAGCGCGTTTTATCTTTTAATTAGCGGCAAACGACAGAGTCGTCGCCATGCGTAATGCTTGTCGTTTCGCGCTGGGCTCTGTCGCTGGCGACAGAGGTCGGTTTTATTCCGATTCAAATTTTGATTCTTCGCTATCGTTTCCGGTTTATTTTCTTATAAATAGGGGACATATTTCCCCATTTTTATTCATTCACAATCATCAATAATCATCCTTTTATTAAAATATCTTTCTTTTTGTTTTCGAAAATATTTCTTTTTATACTTTATTTATGAAAATAACCAGTCCAATTTAATTTGGTCCATGATAAGGGTCCAATAATAGTGTAGTTGGATTGGGCTCAGTGGCGGAGCCATGAATTCAACAATGGTAGGGAACTATTGAATACAAACTTATCAACAACAAAATTTTCCAATTTAACCACACTATTTTTTTTTTAAAAAAACCATAAAATAAATCATTCAAGAAATAATATTTATTCAAATTACAACCTAATAATTCTTTAAAAACTATTACAATTGTTCTCGACGAGTTTTCATATTTTGATATCGATGAACAATATCATTCATACTAACATTCACAAACAAATCTCTTTCAAGATAAGTAACCAAACAATCATTTAACATTTGATCTCCCATGCTATTGCGCAATTTATCTTTCACTTGAGTCCTTCCTGAAAATACTCTTTCTACACTTGTCGTTGCAACGGGGAGAATTAACCCAATTTCAAAATCAAGTACACACGATGATGAGTTACATATTTTCCCGTTTCAACAAGTTTCATAGATAGCTCATTTACACTTCTAAAATTCCTAAATCTCTCATCTTCTCTAACATCAACAATAAAGTTGTTAAGAGAATGCTCAAAAAATATCAACTCGGCACTTGAAAATTCATTTGGATAGAATTTAGCAAGTTGAATCAATTTTTTTTTGTCAAAATATGAAAAATTATTAGTAGGATTAAAGGAAGACATACACAAAAGTAAGTCCTTACTTACCTCGGGAAATCGATTTTCAAGTTCTTGCAATTGAAGATCAATGACACTTATAAAAACTTCAACTCGAAAATGATGAAGATTTTTCACTTGTGGGCTCTTACCTCTAAACATCCTTCTCCCCGGAACAACATATTTAGCCTCCATGTTTGGAATCTCAAGTTCATGTTTTGCCATAAAAGAAGTAAATTTTTACATAAGCATATCAAACCCTTCATCTCTCAACTCTTGCAAATTATCCTTGGTTACGTCAACCATGGCCATTGCATTCATAATGTCTTGATCATGTTTTTGCAAGGCCTCATTCAACTCCTTTGTAATCGCAAATATATCAACCATCAAGTGTGCCACAAACATAAAATCAAATGACATCAACAAGTGTGTAATAGCTTGTGCTTTATTTGAATCAAGTGTATCAAACACTTCTGCAATGGAATCAAGGGAAAGAAGGATGGAAGAATATAAATCAAGCACATTTAAGATCGACTTGAAGTAAGATCCCCAACGAGTGTCACAAGGTCTACCCAAACCTTGTTCTTGATTTAATCCTGTTCCTGTTTCAAGTTCACCCAAAGACAATGCTTCTACAACATGTTGACGTTGTTTTTCTCTAAGAAATTCTTTCCTTTTCGGTGAACCTCCAACAAAATTCAAAAGAGGTGCAAGTACATCAACAAAAATCCACCCACAATCCGAATTCTTTTTAGCAAGTGCAACATGTGTCAATTGAAGTTGATGTGCAAAACAATGCACAAAGTAAGCTTGTTTGCATTCATTCAATATCAAAGCTTTGAGGCCATTAATTGAACCTTGCATATTACTAGCACCATCATAACCTTGACCTCGTACTTGAGAGAAAGTTAAAGAGTGCTCCATAAGTATAAACTCAATAGCATTTTTCAAGGTCAAAGAAGTGGTGTTAAGAACATGCACAACACAAAGAAATCATTCACATATCTCTCCCATTTTATTAACATATCTCAAACAAACAGCCATTTGTTCTTTATCGGTAACATCTGCTGACTCATCGGCAAGGATGGCAAAAAATCCATCACCAAGCTCTTCAAGAATTGCCTTAGTTGTTTCTTTTGCACAAGCATTGATGATATTTTTTTGGATTGGAGGAGAAGTCAGTTGACAATTACTCGGAGAGTTTTTTAAAATAACTTTCGAGTAGTTGGGATCATGCTTTGAAAGAAGTGACAATAGAGAAATGAAATTACCTCTATTCAATGAAGTTTCTTTTTCATCATGGCCACGAAAAGGAAACCCTTGAAGTAGGAGCCATTGAGTAGTTACAATTGAAGCTTCTAACCGCTTTCGATATGCGCTCATTGCTTCTTGTGATTGTTTGGACAATGCGGTTGTAATAGAAGCCTTTTGATTGACAAATGAATTCATATCAACCACCGCAATGTTGTGAGCACTCATGTGTCCACCAACATGTTTTGCAAATGCTTCCGTTCTATTCGAAGCCTTGAATCCCTCATTAACAAAAGCATCACCTCCAGATGAATTGTCTTTCTTGAATAAGTAACAAATAAAACAAAAAGCCGCATCCTTCTCAACACAATACTCAAGCCATGTCCGCCAAGTATCAAACCATTTTTTATTGAAGCGACGCAATTTTGGCCCAAAAGGTGTTTGAGGAAATACAAAATCTTCAGGTTGACAAGGTTTTCGTTGAATGTATGTTCTTCTAACCAAATCCCTATCATCCGGATGAAAATCACTTATCTTTCTCCTTTTTCCGGGATCTTGTGGAAGATTAACAATATCAAAAGTACTTAATCTTCCTTCATGAATTGGAGCTTCATTTCTAGGATTTGAACTAGCTCCATGACAAGCTCCCTCGTCTTGATTTTTAGGAAAGTTGTGTGATGGAGAAGAATTTTGTTCACTTGCTTGATGTGGAAGAGGAATTTGTTCATTTTCTTGAGGTGGAGGAGGATTTTGTAGAGATTCTTGTGGTGGATGGAGATTTTGATTACTTTCTTGTGGTGGAGGGAGATTTTGATTATTTTCTTGTGATGGAGGGGAGATTTTGTTCTTGAGAAAGAGAAGGATTTGAAGTAGAAGATCTTTTGGTAAGGAAAATTGAAATATCCCTTGTATTTTTTCTCTTCATTCTGAAATTTATATTATATGTCTAATTAGATAATTTTAAACCAAAATTTTCATATAAACTAACAACATACTTATAAAGTATAAGCATATATACTAAACTTATAATTAATCAACTCAAGAAATAATTCATAGTCTACTACCTTTAATTTTAGGCAACAAATAAGTAAATAACATAAGAACTCAAGAAGAACAACAAACAACAAAATCACAATTCACACAAATTGACACATTCACACATAGTGGACTTACATTTTACACAATTAACATTCTTAATAGCCCTTTATATATTCAAATTATGCAATTAATTAAAAATTAACACCCATGATTCAAAGAAACGATTTAATTAAAGACAAATTTGTATAACATTAAACCCTAAATCACAGAATGAAATTGAAAAATTAAGACCCAATAAATTTTAATACCTCGAATAACAATGGTAGAGATGAGTAGAAGCAAGACCTTGATGGAATGGTGGGAGGTGAGCCGCTGGAATCTGGCGCTTGCACCGGCAACTCGGCAAGCAGTCGAAGCAGAGCCGCGGCGAGGAGTCCCAGTCGAGGAGAGGGCCGAGTTACTATTCACACTTTTGATATTTTGAGGAGGGAGAAAATTTGGGGAAAATTCTAAATTTTTTTAACTTTTTTTACTTTTAATATTTTTAGTGACTTTCGGACTTTTTGTCACGTGAATATGTGATTGGAATTATTTTTAATTAATTGTTTTTATAAAAATATTAAAGTCATTGGAAATTGGAAATTGGGGGGAGTGGGGGAAAATACACTGAAAATGGCAGGGCATTGATCATGTAGCATGACTAGCAACGGTCATATGGAGTTAAAATATAAGGTTTTTTTTTAATAATTAGCATAAAATTTTTTTAAAAAAAACCTGGTAGGGCACAAGCCCCACCAGGACACATACTACCTCCGCCACTGATTGGGCTGGAAAAAAGCTTACCAACAATATATTATAAGCCCAATTCCGATGAATATTGAGGAAGTTATGGCCAAAATGCTAAATTAGGTCTAAAAATGAATTTTATGTGTGGCCCAATGATCTAGAGGAGGACCTATTAATTATTATTCCTAAAGTTATTTGGATCGACTTTAATCTTCTAGAATAATCTAGAAGGTTCTTTTAAATTCTAATGGAATTAGGATTAATAATTATTATTTTAAAGAGTTTTATTTGGAATAAAATAAGTGTTTTATGATAAATCTGATCTTTAAAACTGTTTAACGCGGATTCTAATTACTTAATTATATTATGAAAAGGATTCCGTACAAAGAGTGATTTAACTTTTAATTAGAACCAAACGACAGAGTTTGTCGCCTGGCGCTGGTGCCTATTGCCTAGCGCTAATACCTGTCACCTGACGCTAATACCTGTCGTCCGGCTCTGGCTCATGTTGTTCGCGACAAAAGGTTTTTTTTTTCGGAATAGAACTCGATCTCTTTTTCGATCGGTGTCCGGACTATTTTTCTATTAATAGGGTCCTAGACCCCCGTTTTTAATCATCAACAATCACCAATCATCTCTCTCCTCTCTCTAAAGCTCGAAGCTTACTCTCTATCTATTCTTTTTAATTTCTAAACCTTCCCCTCTTACATATTCCACATTCATTAGTTCTAGGCACACCTAGCCGAGTTCAAAGTTGCCTTCGCCCAAGACATGAATGGTTGATATTTTCTGAGGGTTTGGTCCCAAATCCCTATTTCAATTATTTAAATTAATTGTTTGATTTAATATTTTCCTTAAAGTTACTCACGTGTGTATTTTGTTATTATAAAGAGATATGATGCATCCAAGTAAGTAATTTAATTATTATTTTGATATAGAAAGCATGCTTAGATTATTTTAATTTCTAATATTATGTTAGGAGGTCTTAATTATTCCTAGTATCATGTTTAGGGTAATAACTAATATTTCTAATATCATGTATGTTTCTAGTATCATGTTTAGGTTGCTTCCTATTCTTCCTTGTATCATGTTAGTATCATGTTAGGGCTAAATATTTGATCTTTAATGCTTAGTGACATGCTAGGGTTGTTTATTAATCTTGTTAGTATCATGCCTAGGATCTTGCTATTAATATTATGCTTTATTGTGAATATGGTTGTGATGATGATTGTTGTTATGTTTCTTGATATATATTATTGTTATTGCAAGCCTTTTATGCATGTTTCACTAGTAGAAAAAAGGTGATCGCCATCGGTTCAAAACCTCGCAATGCCATCGGTTTTGAACCGTTGGGCATTTGAGGGGTGGCAATACTTGTATAAAAGCCACTGGTTCAAAACCGGTGGGAATAATAGGCACCCACTTTTTTTTAAAAAAAAGAAATTCATTACTTTTGGCACCGGTTAACCGGTGCCAAAAGTGTCCAATTTGTTTTTTCTATTTTCACTTAAAAATATCAGACAACGATATTAAAAAATTGCAACAATAAATTCATCAAATAAATTATATTCATCAACGATAAATTCATCAAATAAATGTCACTAATATGATTTTTTCACTTAAAAATGTGAGACAACGATATATCATCAAATGAATTATTACAGCATTTTACAATTTCACAAAAAAAAAAAAAAAAAAACAAAAAAAAAACTGCAAAATCGAATTTCCAAAATCAACATTTTGAATCCTTTTGCTATGTGAACCTACATCAAATTTGGACACCAAATTAATAAAAACCCAAAATAAGTTAATTATATAAAAAAAATCAATTAAATGGTTAAACCCAACAATTCGAAATTCAATTACACCCAGAAGATTCCAAAAAAAAAACAACAAGAAAACATTCCGAAATTAATAAAAAAAAACTATCCGAAATACAATAACATCTACTAGAAAAAAAAGTAAAATAGAACAATAAATTAAACCAAAAAAACCCAGAAAATCTTTACAAAAACAAAAAAATTCATGCAAATTTCAAAATCAATTAAATTAAGAAACATCGACTAAAAAAACCCAAAAAATCAAGGCATTTAACATGAATAATTAAACCCAGAAACCCTAACCTCATATAAATAAACTCGGAAACCCAAATTTTTTTTAAAAAAAGACACATACCTTCATTCAACCACCCAAAACTATGAAAGTGCGAAAAATGGTCGGTCTTCATGGCAGGGGCTAGTGGCAGTGGTGGGCTTTTAGGGGAAAAAGAAGTAGATCGAGGAAGAGAAGTGACAAGCTCAAAGTGCGGTGGAGGGCTTCGTTGTGTGGAGGCCTTTGAGGAGGCCTTAGGAATGAGATGATGAATAGAACGAAGAGATCGCTGAGAGGAGGGTGCAGGAGGCAGGAGAGAGGAGAGCTGAGAGGAGAGAAGAGGCAGGAGAGTGACGAGAGAGAGGAGAGGCTCCCTTAGGGTTTATAAACGAGCGTTTTTTTTTCAAAATTGCCACCGTTTCGGTTTGAACTGGTGGCTTTATCATTTCACCTAATCCCGCCCATTTTTCCCCCACCGGTTTTTAAAAACCGGTGGGCATAACTCGGTGCCTTTTTGTAATTTTCTACTAGTGTTTAAAGGGAATTTGTACTTGTAATCACGCTCAATAAGATAATTAATAATTTTGTTTAGGTTAATATGATTATAATTCAAGTGATTGTCAATAATAGATTTGTTTGTGCATTAATATTAAACCAACGTAGATTAAAAAGGTTTAGAGTTAACCTAATGATAGTATGTTAGTCAGAAAGCGCACATGAAAATGAGAAGAATAAAGTAGAGACATGTTTTCAGAGCATGTTTAATCTCTTTTAAGTTGTATTTTTACCTTCATCCCCAAATATCAAGTCATATATGGTTCCAAACCACTATGGAGTTAGCGATCTCATGGATCGTGAAGGGGTGTAACCTTCACCATGTGAACGATTTACTAGTTCCTGAAACTTTTTGGTGACTCTTTTACTCTAGTTTCGCTCCCTTTGTACCCCACCATGCTTAAGTTTATGATCACAGTGGGGCTCAAGTGTAGGATGCTTGAAATATTCCCTACAAATAGGGTCTCTATTTAAGTTATTTTTTTTTTCTTGGTTTGATAGGCAGTAAAAGAAGCTGAGTGTCATGTGTCTTGCTAGGGGAAGAAAGGTACCTGCCTGTTGTAGTACTGTAGGCTTTTAATATGGAAACAATTCATCAATAAGAAGTTAATTTCTATTAACACAATTCTTTGTTGTGTGCGAGTCTACTGTGTTGTATTTGTAAGCTTGTAGCAGTCGTGGGTCGTTTATGTGGGCTTTCACTAACATTAATCTTACAGGTTCTTTGGCTGCAAAAAGATATATATAGGATCTCCGCATTAGTTTCTAGTCAAGAAATTTAAGCTTATGGCAAATGAAAATGCTTTAGCTTTTTTATGATTCATGCACATGAGTATCTCTCACAAGTCTCTGTTAGGTGTTAAGTATGATCGGGGATACTAACTTTTTGCTCTTTTAATGTAATTTACAGAGTTCACACTCTTTGATCTTTGTTTTATTCATTAATGAAATTGTTAAGTATATCTAAAGAAAGTTTATCTCAGCTTGAAAATGTTTACTGTGCTTCCTTGCTAGCTTAATGTATTTGGAAAAAGAAGTATGGCAATGTTCTTGTCTACATCCACCCTAAGGCTGTTGTTGGGTGATTTAAGTTGCTGATGTTTGCCAATTCTAGTAAGAAAGTATTTAAGTATCGAATTATGGATTGGCATGCTACTATCTAGGGTACTATTAGATTTTTTTTCTTTTTTGATATATATATATATAGGTAAGATATATTAGGAGATTACATGATATTAATATGATTTGATTTGTTTAGTATAGTTGGCATAATAGTTGGCATAAGATGGAATATAGCAATATTAGATTGTTTCCTAAAGTATATCCTTCTTGTACGTTTTACGCCTATATATTGGCAGCTAATATTAATACAATGC